ATGTGGTGGACAGGGTGCACACCAACTGGGGATACTTATTCTCAAAGGCTGAAGACTAAGTCTGTGGCTCATCAAGAGTGTCTAGGAGAAGAGAAGAGAAAATAATCATAAAGAGTATCATTAGAAAGGGATATACAGGACTTACTCTTAAACTGTTTGCAGGACTTGCCAGGACTGTGTTTTTCAAATTACAGAAAGGTATTTATCATATTCATTAAATGTTCTATATTTAAAAGCTTTTAAAACAATTTTTGTTTCTATTCAGAAGGTTGCCCAAGGCTCTGGAAGGGCAAACCACTGAAGTGTCTCTTCCTGAGTCCAGTAGACTTTGAATACAGTAGCTAAGTATCACTCAGGGACTTAATTGTTGGCCTGAAATCATATTAGACTAAATATGGAAGAGGATTCTTAAAGTAGTAGCTCAGGTGGTGATGATGGCCATATAGATGAGGGCCACATAGACTCATAGGAAGAAAGGTTTGAACCTGTGATAAAAAATAATTAGAATTTTTCCATCAGATGAAGGAACTGGGGATACAGTTTATTTTTCAAAATTATACCCAATTAGAAGCTTGAAAATAATATTCTTATGCTTTGATTTTATAAATATTCCCTATGCTTCTATTATATAAATATTTACTTTTTGTTTCTTTACATTTTTCTTGGAGAAAAGGTTAATTTGTGGTGCAAGATAACATGATTGCATTAAATATGTATTGGAACTCAGGGCTCATGGAAATTATTTTCTGTCTCAAGTCTGGACTTGGAATTTTGTAAGACACTATATCTCTTCCTCATCTAAAACCTAGTTCCAAAAGATGGTGTGATGAGACTCTTTGAATGCCTCTTGAACTGTTAAATCAGAGAGCTGATGCAAAGAGAAGGCATCTCAGCCATGTTTCAACTTGTTGTGCTTGTGTTACTGGTTCTTTTCTAGCTAGAAAAAGAGGAAAGGAGGTTTCAGACTGGTTTTCTTTTGTGACAGAGTGCAGCTGCAGCCAATTTTCCAATCCTAGCTAAACTAAGGAGTTTGTGCTTTGAAATAGAACATCTAATTAGAAACAGATTTTTTTTTCCATCTCTCCGTGAGTCAGACAAAGATTTCAACAACATATGGACAGGTTCATATTAAATCACTGTTTACCACATCTGTTGATATAATAGCACCTACATGCTGTATTTAAAACTTAATTAGAGGTGGGCCATGTCAAAATCGTCATGAGAGATTGGATAACCACACCCAGCACACTGATACCAAAACATAATGCTTACCAGGATCCCATTTCAGTGACACTTTGATGAGACTTTGGAGAGGAACAGTCTTCATCTGCTTTAAAGACACATTAACTTGCTTATATGGCTTTCCTGGTTGCTGCACTGACTGGTTGTGACACCATGCAAACCTTCCTCCTCCTATAGGAAATTTTTCAACACTTCACAGTCACCTGTTTTATTACTTGCTGACTCAGTAGCTTTTTAAAATTTTGTTTAAGTTCAGAGTTAAGTACATGGGTGTTTGGAATTGTGTATTTTTTCCCTGCTTCCAGATACTTCTGTTACTTATTTCACTAACACATGCAAAACCAATGGTCTTACAGGTTCATGCACAAATTAAGACACACAGGTAGATGATACAAATTGAACATATCTCTTAAATGGTGTTTGAAATGCTTTAGAAAATCTCAACTAAGTATCTTCATTCTTTCTGTTACAGTCTGTGTCACATAAGGCAATCCTGTAGCAGACAGCATGTAAAATAGCATTACTAAATACTTCTTGTGATTTAACAGTTGTATCAGCGTTTTTGTAGCTGGAACAGTGAGTTATTCATAAGATGTAATGGCCTGGCAAATTATGTGGTGCCATGGTTGAACGTTTAGACTTTGAACATGGTCCATAAAATCTGATATTAAACAACTGAGAATACTATTGGGAAATGTTTCCTTTTTTTCTTGGAAACAGTTTACAATCAGTGTCAGTACTACAAGTGAATTATGAAGAAAATATGTCTTCTTTTCACAGACAGTCCTTGGAGCCTGGACTTCAGTCCT